AACCAATTACCGCAACTCGCGAGATGCCTAGTTGCCATGCAACCAGTAGTCTAGCAAACTTTCCACAAGCTGTCATTCATAATTTAGGAATGACATCCCAGGGGGCGCAGTTTTACCATTCTTAACCCTCTGGAGTCTAAGGGTATTTTCTCGATTTTTAGATGTTTTCTTAAATCAACTTTTAAATGTATTTCTTCTAACATGGCACCCCATGTGTTAAATATCAAAATGTTCAGGACAATCTCTGGTCTTGCTATATATGCATATTGCTCACCTTAGAGCACTGTTTGATGAGATAAGTAGCTCAAAAGCTTAAAATGTGAAATCCGATTTTTGGAAAATCTTCAAAACTCTTGTGAAAACACAAATTTACTCATGTGATCGAATTGTTTTGGTGTTTTAGATTTGGTTACCAAAGTCCTAGGATCACAAAAGCAGTGCAATATTTGAATTACACTGTATATAAATGTGTTATTCATGTCTAAAATTAAAAACATTAAATTCAAATTTTGAGTAAAATAGGTGTTTATCACTCTACTTTCACCACAGCAGGGACTGAGATACATCAGGACTGAATAATGACTTCATATTACATACCAAGGTTCATGTGATGTGTACAAATACAAATTGAGCATTCAACCTTTTTTTTTTTCAACCAACAATTTATTATAATTATGTTTTTTTCAACCAACTATTTATATAAATATAAGAAACTGGAAAATCTCACTATTTACAATATTGAACATCAGAACTTTCAACCAACTATTCATTATAAATGTCAAGACAGTATCAAGGTCTTTGTCTGTCTTCCAAGACAGTGGGTCTGGCTGCTGTGTAGGTGGGGGTGATGGTGCATGGGCTGCTGTGTAGGTGGGGTGTACAAGTGCTATACGAGACCTCCACGAGACCTCCTTGCTGGCTGGGTTGAAGGTGATGGCTGTGGTGGAGCCTTTGTGCTGAGGTGTATCTTGACCTGGTGGCAGCCGCAGATGGAGGTGGAGGCAGCTGTAGTGATGATGGTCGGCTGGTCCTTGGTGGTGATGGCTCTGGTGAAGGCCCTTGAGCCACAGTAGATCTTGACCTGGGGGCCGGCACAAATGGATGTTGTGGCTGCTGGATAAACGCCGCCTGTGTAGGACAATAATTACAACAAATTTCATTGAAATAAAGTTCAAGTAAAATGTTGCTCAAGCACAAATAACAATGCACACATAAAATAAAGTTTGGGAGGTTGCAGAAGGAGTCTCTCTCTCTTTCTCTCGATCTCACACACACACACACACACACACACACACACCACTGTAAATGTCTCCGTTGTGGGACGAATAAATGATTAATTTAATCATCTACACATGTAATCTCACTTTTACACACCAAAATAACGTTAACACAGAGTAAACGCTTGCTAATGGAGAGTCTATTTTGTCCCAATAAAAAGTTAATGACTATCGATAAAAAATATATATCAATAAACCTATTGTTCATTTTCGCGGTATTCCCCACACATTGCCAGTACACTATTACTGTAATATTTACACTTACCCATGTCCAAATGGATCCTTGTTGTTGTCTTTGTATTCTTCTTCTTCAGAAGAGTCGAAGACTTCAGGTTCTGAGGCTCTATCTTCACTGCTGCTAGCGAAAAAAATCTCTAGCGAAGTCGGCAACTGTAACGTTTTTTTTAGCCATTTTATCTGTCTCTCTCTCTCTCTCCTCACTAAAGGAAACTGATGGGAGACACGTGGTTTATGTTTTTTTTACTTGGTGGGTAGGCCCTTAGTGATTTCTCGATGTCCATTGGTCATTTCAGACCATGATGGCTGCCAGCCGAGATTTCCTTGACGGACACACAAATCCACCAATCCCACACAGTCTAAAGTCAAGCTGCTTTGAGCGGCCATATTGGCTGCTGTGCCCTGGTTACAGTCTCACAGGAGATACCGCTGGAAAGCTACTCATTCTAATTCTTACTAGATACAACCATGGAGGATTAAAATATAACGCATGCATTTCAGCGTGTCACATTAACTATCGCGGGCCGCCAGACACATTTCCGAGGACCGCCATTGGCCCGCGGGCCGCACTTTGAGAACCCCTGTCCTAAAGCATATAAATATATCAGGATACAGCCGTTGTGTATTTTATTATGTGAAGCACTAAATAGTTTTAGAAAAATATAGACTCTTTTTTGTAGATATCTACTAAACTAAAGCATACAAATAAAGAGATTAATGTAGGCCTGTTATACTGAGTGATATATATTATACACACTGCTCTGCTTTCTGCACAGACCTCACAGTTGTTCTCACTGTAAACATTGCGTCGCGATGAAAGCAGTTAATACAATAATATCCAGGGGATGCATGCAGAGCTGTCATTGGCTGAGATAAGTCCGGCCGTGCATCACGACTCTTTGAAACATCTCTGTTCCCGGAAATGCATCCACGAAGGAGCCGTGGAGGACCCATCAGTGTATCCTCGGTTATAGCTCCTCCAGAGAGCCTCCTCGATGCTCGATCCTCAGTCCTCGATGTGCATTTACAGAAATGAGATGTCCTTCAACATGGCGCGGTGAAATCCATTTCCGGGTCACTACCGGAGGACCGAGGAGTCGAGGAGGGGAAATTAGAGAATTGAGAAGCCTTCACAGTATCACCCCAAAATACAAGATACGAAACATTTTCAACCGTGCAACAAAATATAAATAGTCCTACAAATATCTTTATTTTATTTCCTTCTTATTTTTATTTAAGCTTGTAACGGAGGTGATCTCTGGGGCCATAGATCTCGGCCTCCATTACGGATAATATAGCTTCATATTTGGCGAAGTATATTGATCTGTTCTACACTAAAACATGGCACAGGAAGAATGTGAATATACATGCAACTTATGCATCTATTTGTCACGATCTGTCTGTGTTTTAGTTTGTCTGTCTCTGTTTCCTGTTTTAGTTTGAAAAGTGTTCCCCCTCCCGTCTTGTCTGTTGCTGGTGATTGTGTTCACCTGGTGCCCTGTGTTTCTCCACCCCCCTCACCTGTGTCTTGTTGGTTTGATTAGTCCTGGGTGTATTTAGGTTCTGTTTTCCTGTGGGTGTGTGTGAGATCCTTGTGGCTTCTGACTGTCTTCCCGTGGACAGCAATATTGAGGCTGTGAATCATGTGTCCATAAGTAATAAATGCCCACACCGGGTTGTATTTGGGACGTTCTGCCTCTGCCTCCTTGCTTGGTCGGGCCGCTCAACGGTCAGCTTCACAAAGCTCAAGGGAGCCAGAGTAGAGGGCTTAAAGAGCCGCATGCGGCTCGAGAGCCGCGGGTTGCCGACCCCTGGGTTAGTATGTTACTACTCCCACTTTGGGGGTAATTAAGGTTGCTTTAACTTTGAATTTTTCCGATTCAAATGCTTCAAACTCTTACGTCAGACTTAAAAAAACAAAGCTATATTCACTCTCTTCATCCTAACAGAAAGTGACCCATGTTACAACTGGAAAGTTAGCATGATAGAGTCACACAACATACTCACATCCTGCTTAAAATACACTGATCTTGACTCATTATGTTTAAAAATAATATCTGACTATTACACAGGACTAACCCCCCACGCACATGTTTGATTATTAAATCCAGTTAAGTAATATTTTATTATTTCTGACATATAACCAGTTATTAGTAGATTTATATTTTTGATTTATATTTTGTACAGTATATTTTGTACTAAGTATAATACAAGTAATAATAATAATAATAGATGTAATGATAGCTTCAAAAAGAAGTAGCTTCAATATCTTCTATCATGTTATTTTTAGGCATATATTAAGGGTATCAGATATATCAAAAGATATAAAAAACGTGTCTATGATGTATTTTGCTCAAAATACCAAACAGATCATGCATTTTAGACATCCCTCATACCCCTCTATTTCAGCCCTGTTTTGGCAGATTCTCTGCTGACCCCGCCCCCTTTTCAGCACCAGGCACACTGCGTTATGTGACGAGCTGTCTGCTCTGCTCAGATACAGCTGAATGCTGCCGTGATTAAACGCCATATCATGTTCCATACCACTTCAAGGATTATTTCTGAAACAGTATGGAGCTCAAATGCTTCTTTTCTTGCGGGTTTACTACAAGGTGAGTATCTTTTTTTATTTCCTCCTTTTTTACACATACTTTCTCCAGTACGGGTTAGCTCTGAGTGTTAGCGATGCTTGCTAATGTAAACAAAGACCATATTACTTCCAAAACACATCGCGCATTGTTTCTGATAGCGACGTTTCTGAAAGGGGTGTAAAGCCAGCCCACATTTCCGATATTACGTCATATTGGACGCAAATCTACCCCCGTTTTAGAGATGTGGGTACGGAGGAAAAGAGAGGGTTTTATTTTCTGACACTTTGTGGGTTCACACCGGGGACACATAGATATGTATAAAATACATCAAAAAGTGCATTTTGCATGATAGGACACCTTTAAGTTATGCATTTAGTGTAGTAAAAAGCCATCATTTAGTGTCTCTTTGGCAATTTTGCACCTTTTTATGATTTAATTTCTCTATTTGTCGTTATATGTTTATTTGTGGTTATTAGGAGTGGTATGTGTCTTTTTGTGGAACATTTTGGAGGTCAAAGCCACTGCCCCTGTTCAGAAATACATCCTTCTGTATTTTATATTCTCTGAGGTGTTAAGCCCCACTAGAGGGGGCCTCATATTTAAACTGGAGGTAACCACACACTGTTTAGGCTGTTTCCTTCCTGCAGAAGTGAACATGTTTGACACCCAAGTCTTTAAATGCAAATAAAAAACGTTTTGATATATTAAAAAGATAAAGTGTGGCTCCTCTTATAGGCCATTCCCCTTTTGTGTATGTTTGTCATATTTTTTCCATTTCAATTGTATGGTTCTTATGGAGGTGTGCAGTAATAGTAGTTGTAGTTGCTTTTTGTATTTGTAATAAGACATGTGCAATAGCGATGTTGCGCAGTTGTAGAGCATGAATGACATCTACGTTTATTAAAGAAATGTCCACACACATAAAGAGAGTCCATGTCAACATTTTGCTGTGCACATCACTAGATATGAAGTAAGAGGCTGCTGAGTGAACTGAGAGGCGCCACAGTGTCACAAAATAGCAGCACTGAGTTTTTTTCGGTCTCACACTCACAGTTTTGTTTCCTGTACAGCCATCAGTCACATTGCATCAAAAACATGGCTGTACGGAGAAAAGACAGCTTCCTCTGGGGAAAAGGTACGCTATCATTTTTATTTTAATCAATATAATGAGGAAAAGCTACCGTTCAAAAAACAATATCAAGGCTTTTGTGGGATTTGGGAGGTTAGGTCAATAGAATTCACTTCAAATGCTGCTAATAGATTTTGTGGGTAACAATCTATTCAGTAATGTTGACTTATCTTGTATGCCCTATATGTGGAAATAATTATTTTCATTTTCTACAACAGATACTTGACATTTCAGTTTTATTCTTTATCATTTGAGACCAAATTAAAACCTATCTAGCTTTGTACATGTTACTTGATTTTTACGCCACAAAATTGGGGACTAACCCACACAAATTCAAATAAAGTGTGCTTTAATTAACCCAAAATCAGCCTTATTAATGTAAGATATAATTTGTAACTTTTGGGTATTCAAATCTCAAATAGATCTATGTTATCTATCTTTTTGAGTTGTGTACTTAACGCTAAACGTTTCTAATAAGTTCAATTTTAGCGGAACATTGTAGGATAAACACTTATTTTAAACATTAAATTGTGTTTTTATCATGGGGCCAGTTTTGGGAGAGTAGGAAACCTCTGCGGATAATTTGGCATCCGGTAGAAAGCTCCAGAACATCTGGATCTAGAATTGTCAGAGGAACAAGCTGAGCTTACATCAGTACCTTTTTGGTCAAAGCACTTAAAGGTGGGGTAGGTAAGTTTGAGAAACCAACTCGAGGTACACTTTTTGTTATATTCCATGGAATGCTCTTAACATCCCGATAGCAATGAATATCTTAGGTGCTTTGACAATAAATACATACAAAAATGTCATCTGTGGAAGCCGTAGTACTGTAAAAAGCACGACCAATCATTTTAGCCGGCCCGGCTAAAATAACTGGATGGCCTACCTGCCTGTCAGCCTTACATCTGTGCACAAACTTATCTCGTGCCCTCATTGGTCCAATCCGGTATCACGGCAAGACGTGAACATGTGACGATTTACCATGCTGGGAGACGTGAAGATGTCACGATTTCGTCCCTTCAAACGTGACAGTTACACGGTATTGTTAACCCATGTTAACCAGTGGAGAAATACCCGGAAATGCCAAGCAAATGCTACCCCCACGGTTGGTTGTTATTGTCAATATTAATATAATAATGATTTATTCTTTAATAGTCACACTCAATTACGCCAATTTTCTTGTTGCCCCAGCTGGTCGACACCTCTTTTAGCAGAAACAAAGGATACATTAATGTATTAAATCAATGTTAATCCATGCGTGTGGATGTGGAATTAACGGACGTGACGTTGTGCGATTGCGTTGCCAGGCAACAGCTTCGGTTCATGTTAATTTACAAACTCTTCAACTACAACCGTAGTTATATTTAAAAACATGTTAGAAGGCCTCACGAAATACTTTAATGTAAATGTGAAGGAATGTGTGTATAACAAAATACCTCTGTCATAAACGAAACCGGAAACAGACGTAGGCAAGATCCTCAGCTCGATGATTGGATGGTTTAGCCGCAATTCAGTGAAAAGACGGACATTATAATGCCGCGGAAGGGAGGGTTGGCGGCGGTGGGGGGTGTGTGTGTCTACAGAAGGTCCAGTTGTGATAGACACGGTTCGCCCGAAGATGGACCCTTCTCTCCCTCACACCAGAGGAGTCAGGGACTCGGAGGCTCGGCTATGCGGCTGCGGGTTTAAGATTTCAGGCACAGACTCACACCAGGTCTGCTCGTCCTGCCTCGGGCTGGAACACGCCCGGGAGGGTATCGATAACCCCGGCTCGTGCGGGCATTGTACCCGCTTCACCATTAAGAGCCTCCGCCGACGGTTAGCACGCCAAGCTAGCTTGTCGGGACGGGACCCCCTCATGTCCGCTGATTCGCCGGCCGGCAATCAAGACATAGTGGCGTCCGCCGCAGAGATTGAGCCCCGCGCTGTGTCAGACTGGGGCTCAACAACAGCGACAGCCGCTGAACCGGAGCCCCACGCCGTGTCAGGCTGGGACCCGGTGGCGGCAAGAGCCGCGATAGCGGAGCCCCGCGCTGTGTCAAGCTGGGGCTCCCAACTGGACCTCACCATGGTTCCACCCGCGGAGGATGTCCTGGAGTTGGACTACATGGAGGACGAAGAGGATACTTCTGAGTTCCTCCTGTCTGACTCGGATGAGGATGACATCTTCGTTTCATCAGCTCAGGCTGCAAAGCCGGGAGCGATGTCCGCTTCCCCGGGCGAGAGCACACCAGCTTCGCCCGTCCTAAGTATGGACTTGCAGGCCGTGTGTCAACGCGCTGCGTCCAGGCTGGACATCCCATGGCCTGAAGTGGCCAAGGAGACCTCCAGATCTCGCTACGATTGGAAGAACTTGCCCCAAGCAGCGAGGACGAAGAGGCAGCTCCTTCCAGTCTTTCCGGAGATGCTGGACGAGGTGTCGGTCTCATGGAGAGACCGCCCCTTTAGCAACAAGGCCCCAATCCAGGGTGCCTCCTCCCTGGACTGTGACGGTATGGAGAGGCTCGGCCTGCTCCGCATGCCGCCCATGGAACTGCTGGTGGCAGCCCACCTCCAACCGAGGCTGGCTTCGACACCGAGCAGGAACCCCATGCTACCGGCAAAGGCAGACCGGTTCCAGTCAGCGATGACCGAACGGGCCTATAAAGCCGCAGCTTTGTCCGCCAGGGCACTCAACGTCTCCTCGCTGCTGACCGCCTACCAGGCGGAGCTCTGCGAAGACATGTTGAGCAAACCTGAGCCTGCCGTGTGGGACGAGATCGCAGCGATCACGGACATTTGCCTCCGTGTGCAGCGGCCTTAACTCAAGCCCGCTCACGTCTTGCCCGGTTCAAGATACCGAAGCAGCAGAGACCGCAGCCCGTCCCGGATCCCCAGCCCAGGCACGAGGCAAGGGGGAGCTAGCCAAGAAAATCTCCGGGTCCGGCAGCTGCCGCTCAGGCGCAGCCGACCGAGGTTTTCAGCCACCAGGCGAGGAAGAAGAAGCGGGCGGCCTGACAGCCTCCTCTCCTCTCCTCGATGAAGGAGCTGGAAGTTCCCTGTTCCCCAGCTCCAGAGCACGTTCCAGTGTTGGATGCTCATGTGTTTTCGGGGTGCCACCATGCCCCTATCTTCCCGCCGCCTCGAGTGATGCCAGAACGTCATCCTCAAGTTCGCGCCATCAGGGAAATGGACTTAACATCGAAGACAGCAAGTTACGCTGCCTGTTTAAGTCACACAAACACATGTCATCATTGTTGTTTCAGAATAAATCATTTTCCACTGTCGTTTCCAGGCTTGAAGCCAAGGGCGCAGTCAATAAAAATGAAAAGAAAAATAATAAACAGTCTGTCGTCTGCCCCTCTTTTGAGAGCGGCTACGGCCTCTCTCAAAAGGCGGACAATAGACGGGATCGTGAAGGCACCACCGCCACGCGCATGCGCTATGTCGGCCGGGGTTGTCAACCTGGGGTACCACCGTGTTCAGACACTAGAGGGCCCCATAACACAACAAATAGAGACACTGAGGGCAGACGACAGAGCTGTGACATCTCCTCTCGCTTTGAGAAGCGAAAAGTGGAGGATGCTCACAGATTCTGCTTGGGTTTTCAAGACAGTAACACGGGGCTACAGGCTCCAATTCGCTGTCACCCCCCCTCACTTATCGGGCATTCTGTATTCACAGGCCCGGGGAGAGTCGGCCCATATTCTAGAGCAAGAGATTTTCTCGCTGCTAGAAAAGAAGGCTATATCGATAATACCCGCCGAACAGAGTCAGAGCGGCTTTTATTCCAAGTATTTCCTCGTTCCCAAACGGGGAGGGAACGGAATTCGGCCTATAGGCCTACTAGATTTGAGAGCTCTGAACAAATAACTCAAAAGATACAAATTCAGAATGCTCACTCACACATCTCTGTTGCGTCTCGTGCGCCAAAACGACTGGTTCACATCAGTCGACCTGGAAGATGCGTATTTCCACATCCCAGTATATTACCCACACAGGAAATATCTGAGGTTCGCCTTTCTGTTACGAGTACAGAGTACTTCCCTTCAGTCTGTCTCTCAGCCGGCGAGTGTTTGTACGGTGTACGGAAGCCGCGATAGCCCCGTTAAGACAACAGGGTATTCGCCTGGCAACTTATCTGGACGATTGGCACCTTCTCGCACAGTCGGAGCAAGAGGATATTACGCAGACGAATGTCCTCGTAAAACACCTGCTCGACCTGGGTTTCGTAATAAACACAGAAAAGAGCATGTTGTCTCCAGCCCAGACTGTACTCTTCCTGGGCCTACGCCTGAATTCGGTGCCCTTTACAGCCCGCTTGTCAGCAGAGAGAGTGAATGCCTTCAGGGCTTGCCTCGCTCATTTCCAGCCACGCAAATATATTCTCTTCAGGTCATGTCTGCGGTTGCTGGGGCTCATGGCGTCAGCCATTCTGGTGGTACGACTGGGACGCTTACACATGAGGGAGTTTCAGCGCTGGGTAGCTGCCCTCAGATTGGACCCCGCGCGTCATGGCGCGCGGAGAGTGATGGTCACTATGAAATGCGTAATGGCACTGCGGCACTGCGCCACTGGCTACACCCGACTTTTCTAGTACGGGGCGTGCCTATGGGTGCTGTCCTATCGTGGAAGGTGGTCACCACAGACGCATGTCTGACGGGCTGGGGGGGGTATATACGAAGGTCGACCTGTGAGGGGTCATTGGAGCAGAGACCTCCAACGGTCACACATAAATTATCTGGAGCTTTTAGCGGTGTTCCTCACCCTGAAACGCTTTCGTCCTTTTCTCAGAGGACATCATGTCCTCGTGAGGACAGACAACACGACCACAATATCGTAACCGCCAAGGGGGTTTGCGTTCTCTCCAGTTACACATGCTGGCACGCAAACTGATCTTATGGAGCTGCGGACGTCTCCTCTCTCTGAGAACGTACCAGGAGTGATGAACCTCGGGGCAGATCTGCTGTCCAGAGGTGCACCACTATATGCAGACTGGACTCTACATCCAATAATTGTGAGTCAGGTGTGGGTGCGTTACGGCCGAGCCGCGGTAGATCTGTTCGCATCAAAAGAAAATACTCAATGTCAGCTGTTCTTTTACCGTTAGGCGTGGACGCGCTCGCGCACGTTTGGCCTCCGGTCCTTCTGTACACGTTCCCGACTTCCCACCCCTGGCTCTGATACCCCAACTCTGGCCAGAGTGAGAGAACAACGCCACACACTTATCCTGATAGCTCCGCACTGGCCTGCAATGTACTGGCTGGCGGAGATATATCAGCTGCTGTGCGGGCAGCCGTGGCAGCTCCCACTACGAAGGGACATACTGTCTCAGGCGGGGGGGACGATCTTTCACCCACACCCAGAGCGCTTGGCACTATGGGCCTGGCCCATGAGTGGTACAATCTGAATACAGTGGGTCTCCCTCAGAAGGTGATAAACACTATTCATAGTGCAAGAGCTTCCTGCACCAGGTCTCTCTATGACTGTAAGTGGAGGGTGTTTGAGGAGTGGTGCCTTAAAAAAGGACACATCCCTTTTCAATGTCCTGTCGGGGTGATTTTATCATTTCTACAGGACCTAATTGATAAACACAGAGCTTTCTCCACGATCAAGGTGTACCTGGCTGCTATTGCTGCATGCCATGTGGGCTTTGAGGGAAAGACGGCTAGCCAACATCCTTTGGTCTGCCGTTTTATGAAAGGTGCTCGCAGGCTCCTCCCTGTTTCCAGGTCACTGGTGCCCTTATGGGACTTGGCAGTGGTTTTAGATGGGCTCACTCGACCTCCATTTGAACCCCTGGAAGAAGCTGACATGAAACTCCTGTCACTGAAGACAGTGCTGTTACTGGCTCTGGCATCTGCCAAGCGAGTCAGTGACATTTATGCGCTCTCTGTACATCCTTCATGCACTCAGTTTGCCCCGGGCAAACGAGAGTGTTGCTGAAGCCCAACCCTGCCTTTATACCTAAGGTGGTTGGCTCATGTACCCCCATTGACATTGTGGCATTTCCTCCGCCGCTGTGTTCCTCTGAGGAACAGCGGCCGAATTTGCTGTGCCCAGTCCGTGCTTTACGCATCTATATGGACAGGTCAAAAGAGTTTCTATGCAATGACCAACTCTTTATATCCTGGGCAACGGCTCTCCCACTGGATTGTGGAAGCGATTGCTCTGGCTTATACGAGTCAGGGTTTTCAGGCACCAACGGGCCTGCATGCTTTTTCTACTCGTGGACCGGCTACATCCTGGGCTTTGTTCAAGGGTGTTTCCATGATCCAAGACATTTGTGCAGCAGCGAGCTTGGTCCTCGCCGCTCACTTTTGTCTGCTTTTACAGGCTAGATGTATCTGCTCCAAGTGTGGCCCGCGCAGTGCTGGGTCCCGTGTTGAGACAGGGTTCTACCTGTTAAGTTCTGGTTGTTTTTGGTGATTTTCGAGATAAGCATGTCTAGCAATACGGGAGTTTCAATATCCCATAGTGAGACATCAAACGGAGTGTTATGAATGAGAACTATAGGTTACTTACGTAACCCCAGTTCTCAGAGTAACATGAAGTGAGATGTCTCACCAGACGGCCCTCCTTGCTATGGCGAAGCGAGAAGAGGTGCTTATTTTGAATGACGCTGCGTCGTAGCGCAAGCTACTTAAAGGGTGGGTGGATTCCCTGACGTTGACGTCAAGATCACCAGCCAATCAGGATTGGCGTAATGAGATTGATGCTTCTGTTTACATACGCGTTGAGGTGCATCCCATAGTGAGACATCTCACTTCATGTTACTCTGAGAACTGGGGTTACGTAAGTAACCTATAGATTTCTTCAAATGCCGTTGCCATGGCAACACAATGCTCGCCTTGAAACACGGTTTTCTCATAGCTTCAGTGAAAATACTCCAAACAGCCCAGAACTTCACAGGTTTGATAACGATGCAGCCATCAATGCATCTAAGCATAGTATGGGGTGTCATCAAATGCCGTTGCCATGGCGACAGACCACTCGCCATGAAACATGATGAGGCTGTAAGTCCAATCGACACTGTCCAATCGTCCCCCAATCTTCACTTGTATATCACCGGTCCATGCCTCAAGAGCTCTACGCCAAATCTGAGATCTCACCATATGCCGTTTCCATGGAAACGCATCCCTCGCCATAAAACATGATGTCGCTATAACTCCTTGAAAATGTTCAAAAAGTGCTCAAGTGTGCTAACAGTCCAGCCTTAAAGACATCTACGGGACAGTTTTGAGATTTCTTCAATTGCCGTTACCATGGCAACAAAATGCTCGCCTGGAAACACGGTTTTCTCATAACTTGAGTGAAAATACTCCAAACAGCCCAAGACTTCACAGGTTTGGTAACGATGCAGCCATCAACGCATCTAAGCGTATTATGGGGTGTCATCAAATGCCGTTGCCATGGCGACAGATCATTCGCTCGATCATTCGCTCGATCATTAACTTAGTTCAGAAGTTTGCGGTTCAAATATTCTGCTGCTTTTCCAAGCCTTTTTACTTTCTTTTCTTCTCTCATCACACATTCAAGCCCCCAGTGTTCATGTATAATTTCAATCTAAATTCTTCACTTTCTTCTTACACATTTCATTTCAATCTAAATTCTTCACTTTCTTCTTACACATTTCATTTTAATCTAAATGATTCACTTTCTTCTTACACATTACATTTCAGCATAGCAGTTTAGCGTCAGCTTTTCAGCATAAAGCATTCCCACTAGCAATTTCTTCAGGAATTGCATTCTCTAGTTTTTAACTAAAATCGCTATATATTTGTGTTTTTTACTGGTTTTATTGGGCACCCAAAAACGTCCTGAATGATGAAAATGAAAGAATCCTAACTTGGAGAAACTGTGGTGGTGAAGAGAAACCCTCCCATTATCCCATGCTACTACACGACACCAACCAACACTTGGTATTTTTTCATTGAGAGACCCCTTGTGGTAGAACATTACATATTGTGCCTTTAACTTGCTTTTTAATCGGTTTCAAATCATCCCCCCATTAACACATTTGCACAAAATAACATGATTTGTCCTTTAAAGGCCATAGTGCACTCAAAATTAACCTTATTCATTGTAAAGAGGAAGGGGATGTTTTTAGACCTCATTCCCTACTTACTGTCCACTAACTAGGAGGATGTTTGGATGTATGCTAGTCTGTGAGAGAGGGAGCATAGGCGTGAGCTAGGTTGTCAAGAAAGTGCACATTGCTGCTGAATGTCTACTGATTGCCTTCCCAAATATACTTTTTCCACAGGTTCACCAAGCCTAGCCCCAGGAGAGAGGAGGGATGGTGACACCTATGGGATTCACACATTTCAAATGCTGGATGACATTCAGGTAATGTGGTGAATATATCCCTCCAAGGTCTTACAATAAATCCCTCATTATTATTCTCCTGGCTGCCTTGACAAAGCTCTCAGCACACAAAGGCATTTCATTCAACAAGTTTCAATGAAATATTATTTAAAGATCCTCTTTTATAACTGACGGGGACCAATCGGCCCTGAGTCATTTAGCATTGTTTCTATGGGGATTTGTAATAATGACAAATCTTGGTACTAAGCTTACAACACTGCTCTCATTCTCATCTCCCTGTCTCAGAAGCTGAGGTTGGAAATCAATCACGTCATGCCAGATATCCACAACCCCTTAATGAAGGAGCAGAAGTGAGTATTTCTTGCTCTTTTTTTTATATAGATCAGCTTATCTATGAGTCAGCACGGTCTTTCGCTCTTATTTAAGCAACACTGGCAGATTACCACTTCACTTGTAGTAAGTGCTGAGTTTGAACATTTCATATAAACAGCTTTTTGTAATTTTCTTTTTGAGTCAGAAGTCAACATATGTTCGATTAGATGCTGCACTTGCAGTGTAACCTGTAAACCTGCCACTCAAACCTTTCACCCTGATGTTTTTAGAACTGCATTTCTTCTTATGAAAATACTTGACATAGCCCGTAGCAGTGGTTCCTCGATTGCAGCCTCACAGCTCTGTCAACTGTTTATCCAGAACTTCAAGCTAACTATTTGAACCGTTGATCCATTCCTTTTGATTACAATTTCAGCTGTTTATCCTTTAGTTTGACCTACTTATTCAGACAATGACATTACTTTTAGCCAACTATTCCAACTGTTTATCTTAATTAGTTTTTTTACTGTTCATCCATTGTTTTTAGATAGTTTGCCAACTTTAGTTAAAGATGGCAATAATTATTTCAACTTATAGTTTATTTCTAGTTTTAGCTACGAAACATTTTAATCTCAACTATTACAACTATTTATATTGTTTATCCAGGGCTCTTAGCAACTTTGCGATCCCCTTTCAGGTTTACTGTTTTAGCTGTTAATCATTACTTTTAGTTACATTTCAACAATGTATCTGTAATTGTAGCTTTACTTGTTTACTTGCTCGCCAACTATTTCTCATGCACTCTCAACACATGATTTAAATGTGGATATTCAAATGTATTATATTTTCACTTGAACCATGGAGTATAAGTACTTCTGTTGGTCACTGATGTTCAAAGTCTTGTGAACATTTGAAGAGATTATGTGGCTGACTTCCTATTGCTTTTGACGCTGATTTCAGAAAGTGATAATTACATTTCATCTGTATGATGACACTTCATTTAGCTATAACTGTGCTACTGGCTTGATAAACACTCTTATCAGTAGGCTACTGGACTGCTAATCTCACCCAAAAACTATAAATACAATTATGAGATACACCTTTAAGAACAATTCAGATAATGCTCTGAGGAATTTATTTTAGTGAATAGTTCAATGACAGAAAATGTATTGATAAACATGTTGATAGTTTTAATAGTTGATTTATCAGTCTAGTTATTATCAAGTCGAGTCAAAACTCCAAATAACTTCTCGTTTAAACATTTTGAGCCTCAGCAACATATCATGTTTTTGTTTTTGAAATGTCTTTATGATTTTATGTATTTCATATAAATATAGCAAAACTGCAAAAAAGTGATGCTGTATCCAGATTGAGAAAGCAGACTACACAGTTGCAAACATGACTTTTTCCCTCCAGAGGGAGTTTCTCTCCCACAAGCCTCAATTATAGTCCTTTGTTTACTTCAGTGACATAGTGACATCACTATGTAAAACTCGCTTCTATTGGCTAGCACCCCCACACATTGGTTGTGATATGCTAATAGCAGGATGATCTCTAAACTGTTGACCAATCACCACAGAGACAGCCAGCTAACCAATCAGAGCAGACTGGGCTCTGGTTTCAGAGAGAGGGTGAAAAGTATGAATTTGTCAATGAGCATAATATGTCTGCTTTATTTAATAATTGTATTTATGTTGTATGATATACTAATGTAAAAAAACAATCTTTATTGCAGTAAAAATGTTGTGAGGAACAAGAGATTCTTACGTGGGAAAAAGAAATTCAACATGAACCCAAACAAGGTGAGTTTATTTCCTATTTTATAACAATCTAATAATTATATTCAACATTTTAAAAATATGCTACAGTGAGTAAAGGGGTAGAAGGTCAAATCAAACTTTTGACTTAAACTCCCCTGGATCTGAAGGTCAACAGTCTGATGACAGCGAATATAACTTGTCACAGAGCTGATGTAGATTAGAGTATGTGTCTGTGTGTGTGTTGTGCAGAAACGCAAACTGTGCACAGACGCAGAGGATGATGAATAGCGAGAACAGCCACATCCTGTTCCCTGAAGTGGTGCAGAAGCGCCACTTCACCACAGCGACCTACATCTTTTTCGCTGCTTCCTCTCTGCGTACTCGGTTAAAAACTGAGTCCCTCGGCACGTGACCACTCTGAGCTCAGGCCTGAGGACACGTACAAGTGGGAGGAGGAGAAGTTTGAAGGCTTCTTGGGGTTAAAGGGGTTTTGAAAGTGCAATTGATATGAAGAGCTACTCAACAGGAGTGAAGTTTTGGATGTGAACATGCTTTGAGATTTAGTAAGATAACGGTGTGCTAACCTTTTTCGTCTTCTTTTTCACGGTGATCAATGACGAAGAATGACTCAGAGGAGTAGAAGAAAACTTTCTTGATTATCAACCTGCAGAGTTGGCACTGCTGATAAGAATATAAACAAGCTTTGGCCAACATAAAAGCGTGTCAGGGACGTTCACAAACTACAGTTTCTATAAGAACAGCCAATATTCAATCTACATTTCAAACTAGCTAAATAAATTGTAGTGCCTGTAAGTGACCTTTAGTCAGCTTACACAAACATTAACATAATGGCCCTTTCTCCATCCCCTTCAAATATAACATCTAGCAAACTAATCCAATTCAATGCTCCATTGTAAGCAACATTTTTTCATCGAATCATATGATGCTATGATGAGACGCTCCATTTATTGGCTAAAAAAGGGCCATTTAACTTATGTTCACTTGCTGATAGTTATTTAAGTATATCCCACATTTTCTGACTGATAATTGTGTTTTCATAAATTCCTAGAAACCAGGGACAGTTCATTTAACTGCAGTATCAAACTCAACCTCAGGGAATGTATCAAATTATGTCAAAAGTAGTGAAACATTATCATTACAAATTCCCAGGGCCCATGTGGTGACTTCAAACTGCTTGTTTTGTCCAACCAAGAGTTCAAAACTTAAAATACAAAAATGTAAATAAAATAGGTGTAAAGCATTTTTTGTATCATGTCAAAAAGGGACAGTACAAATAGCATTGTGTGATTTAGAATGATCGTTATATGCAAAACCCATTCTGCTACCCTGGGTCTCTTAATCAAAACAATAACAAAGGATGGAGTTTAGTGGCGTCGTAAGGTAGAGTGGGATCATGGGACTTGTTGTCTTCACCACCATTGACGTCAGCTTCTTCCATTACTTCAGTGTTCATGTTCAGTAGGGTTTTATTTGGAGTACTAAATCAAAATATAAGGTACTCTTTGTTAACATGCACATAACTGATTTGCATGCTAATGTTTTTACAGGGTGTCCATTACCTAGTGGAAAATGAATTGCTGGAATGGCGAGCAGAGTCAGTGGCTGAGTTTCTTTACAAAGAGGAGGGACTGAACAAGACCGCCATTGGCAACTTCTTGGGAGACAGGTAAATTGCTCTGACAAAATGTGAGCCTGGTGGTAACTAACTGAAATGGGTTGTAATAAAGCAGCGCAGTCTATGCTAAAGTGCACAAAACTGCAAATAATCGAACGGCCACTCTAGGCTGGCTCCAAAATGTCCATCTCCAAAGACCTCCACGTCGAAATGGCCAGAATTAGAGCACAAATAAACGTTTTTGAAATAATGGTTTTGGGATCTATAGCTTATATCCCTTTTGTTGACCACTGCACGGGATGTAACTTTTATAAAACTCACCTGTTTAAGATATACTCGGGCTTAAAGTTATTTAACCATATCACTGGTTGCTTTGAATGACAGGCGGGTGCCGTCAAAGGTCATGGATGTAACTTCGATCAGGAGGAAAACCGTGGCTGAAATATATCCTGATGCCACAAAATGAAGCATAAACATTCATTTAGATAAAAAGCAGTGGTTGAATATGTATTTACTTTAATCAAAAGAACCAGTGCAATGAACTACTCCAGCCAATTATCGGCCAAATGTACTCATTCTGCATTTAAATGTGTTTTTTATAAAAGGGTTTACACTGCATCTTAACATTGTGTTAACTATATTTAAATGTCACACAGGGAGGAAATGCATCTGCAGACACTGAAAGAGTTTGTGGGCCTGCATGAATTCTCCGACCTGAATCTGGTGCAGGCGCTGAGGTTCGTCTAGCAGAATTTATTTGAAAGTCAGCAAAAAACGTTGCAGCAGTTTTACCTTTTTTCTTGTTTTCTGATGATGAGGGATTTCTCCTCCTTCTTCACAGTGTGTGTTTGATATTGTGTATGCATGTTGTTTGACTCCTCTGCCGTCTTGCAGACAGTTCCTCTGGAGCTTTCGTCTCCCGGGAGAAGCTCAGAAGATTGACAGGATGATGGAGGCGTTTGCAACTCGCTACTGCGACTGTAACCCAGGGGTCTTTCAATCCACGGGTACGAACAACAAAGGCGCTGCCTGACTCACTTTCTCAGACAGTCCAATTCAAAAGTTTCCCTAATTTCATAAATATCTAGAAGACAAGTTATCCACTGTTATATTTCTTTCTTTTCACAAAACACGACAAGCCTTGCTATCTTCTCATCTCTGCCTCACACAAACCTTTTATTTATAATGGGGTTTTATTTGATGATGATCAGCTGAAGGAAACTAACTGTGGTGTGTGTATTTGTGTTGATGTGTGTTACAGACACATGCTACATCCTGTCTTTTGCCATCATCATGCTCAACACAAGTCTCCACAACCCCAACGTGAAAGACAAACCCAATCTGCAGCGATTCATTTCCATGAACAGAGGAATCAACCACGGAGAGGACCTGCCCACAGAACTGCTCACGGTCTGATGCTATTACTAATACTTCTGTTTAAAAGGGATGGTTCACCTCAGAGTTGGATTGAAAATGCCATATAAATGTCATATAGCAGAACTAGATGGCACTGATCCTTTGCTGCTCAGAAACTAAAAATACATGTTAAAATCTCAACAGCAATGTCTCTAAATATAATTAACAAAACTTGTTGTGAGCAGTTTCAAGTGAACTACACCGTCCAATCACATCACAGTGCGGAAGGAAGCACGAAAGGCTTGTTGCCATGTGTAGTTAAGGACATCTTTCTGATATGAGACCGCTTACTAAAAGATCTGAGGAATAGCGTGCTTACTAAATATAAAAGTTTGAAAAATATAACTTATTCTCATATTGAGTTTAGTGCAGGATACATTTACACATTTCTTGCCAAAAAGTTTTTTTTCTGCTTGGCTGTGGAACATACTGTATGAACAAGTTGTTCAGACAACAGTAGACTTGACTCTGGTTTGAAGGTTTTTGACCTTCATCCAACATTTTTTAAGGAAAACCAGACTTTCAAAAACTTGAAATATTCTACATCTGATGTTGAAATTGTCATCTCTTCCAGAAACTGTATGCGAGCATCCGCAGCGAGCCATTCAAAATCCCTGAGGATGATGGGAACGACCTCACGCTGACGTTTTTTAATCCAGACAGAGAAGGCTGGCTCCTTAAAATGGGTGAGAAGATGATGATTTTGTAACACACAGAAGATAATCTGACATTTCTGGAGGCTTTTAGACTCTCCTGTGCATTAGGGCCATTGTAAGTAAAAAACGAATTGTTATTGCAAAGCCAGAGGAGGGCGGCTTAAATTCTCTGATACAAATTAATTGAGAATAAATGTGTACATTAACCATAAAAAAAAGATCAAATCGAACATTTACCCTTAGAATAATTGATTTACTTAAAACTCAAAAAGCTTTAATATGCTGTTGTATTTAGAGAAGATTACAAAAAGAAAACGTTTTCCTACAATTATTTTGTCTTTGTCGAAGGTGGGCGAGTTAAAACCTGGAAGAGGAGGTGGTTTATTTTAACAGACAGCTGCTTGTACTACTTTGAATACACCACAGTAAGTATGTGTCTTTCTGCTGCTACAAAACCTTTGCTTCAACAGTAAATATTCTACTGGGGGTTTAAAGGTTGAATCTGTGTTTTAATATCCGCCTCTTCCTGCAGGATAAAGACCCGATAGGTATTATTCCTCTGGAGAACCTGTGCGTAAGGAGTCTACCAGACAACAACAAACAGGTATTTGAGTTTTGAGGCTTCAATACCTTAAATACTGGGAAAGCATTTTATTTAAAGGCAACTAAATAATAGCATTTCTTAAATGAAATGAGCCATCGTGACAAACATTCATTATCAGAATGAAAATCTAGAAGAATGGAAATATTACAAAATAAAAAATAACCCTCCCATAACTGGAGATAAATTCAGGGAGATTCCCCAAATGTTTAGTTACACAATCCTCTCCTCTAGGTTTTCTCCTTAGATAATGTGTACAATCTAGGATGTAACACATCTTAAATGTTTATTTCAAAAAGCTGGAATTTGTAGCAGTGATGGCAGTGGTTATCTGTAATTAAGTGATTCTAGAAGAATATCTTCCTCTTGCCATATTGCAAAATGTGTTTTTCCACTTGTTTACTGTGTATGTGTCACTTTTACAGCTGTGGGACCTTGTATTTTTAAACTGACGTTTAGAAGTGTGCTCTGTCCCTATTGAATAAACAATTAAAACACAATCTGCTGCCAAACAACTTAATGAATGACACAGTTTAATTCTAAATTAATATATTTAACACAAGTGTTGAAACAGCGAGTCAAAAGCCTATTAGAAAGCTCATAGAACAAACAGAAAGCATAGGCACAAAGTAACAGTACGGCATGTGTGTCTTTGTCTGTGTTTGAACAGTATTGTCTGGAGTTATATAACCCTAAAGGACAAAAGATCAAGGCCTGCAAGACGGAGAACAAAGGCAGAGTGGTGCAGGGCAAACATCAGTCCTATAAGCTGAGGGCCGCCGGATCCGAAGAGCGGGACGCCTGGATGGATGCGATCAGGTAAGAACTGTCTACGTTATGAGAACTCACAGGAAACATGTCAAATATCCATAAATATTTCAAAAATGTCAGAAACGATGAGGAAATTATCAAGAAAAAAAGTATGGAAAATATCCATACAAATCTGTCTACTAGTAACATTTGCCGATTCCATTGTAAGTCAAACAATTTAAAGATTATACCTTGAGAGCTGTAAATAGTTGTTTTTTTCTCTATTTTCTTTCATTATATAGATTTAATATATTCATTAATAATCAATACTAGCAGTTGCCCAAGCTACTGTAGAAGTGACAATGCCTACAGTACAGAGAAAATTGGCACTTTCTTGACATAAAGGCAAAGAGAAAAATCTACTACTACTTCTACTCTTGATGATCTCAGTTTAAAACTGAATACAAAACTTCTCTTTCAGGACATGCATCACCAAAGATCCGTTTTATGACCTGGTTTCTCTGAGAAAGAGGAAGGTCACAGGCAACACTTCCTGATGGGACTGAAACACAAGGCATTGGAGGAAAAGTATTTGAATCCTGCATGATGTGTGAATACATTTATCGATGAATCACCCTGTGAACTTGCCAAACGTGAATAGCAAAGCATTCTCAGAAAGGTTCAAATTGGGAAGTAACATTTGTTGAAGTGTAAAATGTTGGTGAACTATTTTCGGCTTGTGATTTTGAGTCTTGACCTTACTTCTGCAAACTGCATGCACTACTGCACAGACTTAAGGGAATGCTAGTCCTACTGACAAACATCTGCTACCAGAGAAGTGATCGAAGGAAGGCTTGATAGTGTCCTAAAAGTCAAACTGAACAGGCCTGAGCAGGTCCATGGCCCCTACGACCCAAACTCTTCATCAAGTGACCGTGAACTTCTATTGCACAAAATAATCCATAAAATATGTCCAAAACCATAACAAAGCGAAGAGAACCAAGAAAAAACATGGAATACAACCAGGATAAGATGAAAGATGACCTACAAATAGATAAATGGTAAATGGACTGTACTTATATAGCACTTTATCCAGTCTTTACGACCCCTCAAAGCGCGTTACATGCTACAAGTTGTTCACCCATTCATACAGAGCAGTGTACCTTGCTCTGGGAACTAACATTCACACACCGTTGGCCATGCCATCGGGAGCAACTCAGGGTTAAGTATCTTGCCCAAGGATACATCGACATGTTGAAAGCACGGGCTGGGATTTAACCCACAACCTTCTGATTGAAAGACGACCGCACTCCCTCGCAGCCAGTCGCCCTTGAAAATGGAAAACATGGAAAACATCCACTAAGAGACAACAAATGACAAAAAGAAGACTCAAAGGGACAACACAGAGATGTAAAGTGTAGGAAATGGGATGCGAGCGATTCACAATGTTTTAGACAAGATTCATATTACTGCAAAGCATTGTAAAAAGTCTACAAATATATATAAAACAAGCACAAAGACAACAGATAAAATAAAATAAACGTACAAAATAAGACACAAACATAATACAAAGAAAAAGCCAGTAGTCATGTTGTCTTAATATCCTCTGGGCTATTTGGAGTAACAATTATTTATTATTATTGATTGAAATGTCTTTTTATTTAGAATATTTAAACATTTATTAAACTGAATCAACAATCTTACTTTATATAATGTACAGTTTTATGATGTAAATAAAGTGCCTTCAATTTGAGCTCTTGTTCAAAACGTTGATTAAACGTTTTTCCACTTTTATAACTTTACTTACTCATCTAAACATGAAAATGAATTATCATAAATATTTTTCTTTTACAATAGAGGGCATTATTACTGATACATTGTTGTATATACATTTAAAAAGCAGGTTGAACAAACTGAAAAGATTCTGTCATATTAAAAAAATTAACTTATGAATACTATTTTTAAATGGTCACTGTACAGTATATTTTATTTAGCTTGAACATGTTTTATTATGTTGTTATAATGTAATGACTATATTGATGGAGGATTAAAACCCATGTTGGAAAATAAACTGGTGTTTTGTGAATCTGTTACTCCAGCAGGTGGAGCTGCATCTTTATTCTATCATTGGGTTGTTCAAATGTTAACTTTTTCTGTGACGCACTGACTCTATCTTGTATTGCTGTAATGATGATGATGCAAAGTGAGAAGTTAATCTATTGTGAAACCCTCGGTTATCAGATTCAGAAGTAATCGGATGTGTAGGCTCTTCCTGTCGTGAGTGTGTGTGATGCTGTGATAAAAGTTGTGGTTTCCTTGGAGCAGGTACACCCCCTCACTAACAAACTGTTTGTATGTATAACATCTCCTCAGTATATATTGATCAAACATGGGAGGGTTTGTTAGTTTGGACTGGATTGTGTATACATGTCAGGCTTCTTTCCTAAAGCTTACAGGACCCTAATGTGTTCAGTTTCCCATGGCTTTTCATAGACCTCAATGTGAGATAAAAACATCTTTCAATGTTATTTTTTCTTACTAAAATCCTATATGTGGAAGTGTTTTATTAGGTTGCAAAACATACATATTTCTTCATCATGTGCTTGTAATATGTTTTTGGTATCCACTGTGTTAAAAGGATCATGGTTAGTAAAACCTAAAAAAGGTGGCTAAATACAATTCTTGATGGTATACCAAATAGGGAAATATTTGTTGAAGACAGTGATTCTCAAAGTGGGGAACATGATTTTATTCAGAATATATAATTTAGGTTATGATATAACTTTTTATATATTTTCTAACAAAAGATGTCTTAGGTCTTTCAAGGCTAAATCGTTGCATTTTAATTATTACATAACAAATAGTTCACATTTTACTTAAAAATGTTGTATTACTGATTTATACTTAACAGATTCTGTTATATTCCTATGGTGAGCACAGGTTATATATATATATATATATATACATACACACAGTATATAGCCTATGTATGAACTAAAAGTGAAACATTTTCTTGTGTGTAGTTTGCCAAATGCACAATACAAACCTAAAGTATTTTCTTTTCAGGGAGACCATTAAGCAGGATTTAGAGCTTAAAGTAATGCAACAGAATATAACTTAGAAATGTGTCATATTGGGTCAAATGAACAATCTGATTAAGCTTTTATTACATTATTTGGCATTCTTTGAAAGATATCCCCACGTTTGAATCTGACTTGACATTTTAATTCACACACAAACCATTTTTTTCAAGTCTTTTATTCAATCTCTGCTACAAAATTAGGATTATTTGCATCAAGTAGTTTCTCAAGGATTCACATTATCGTCTCTGCCAGTGAACAAAAGCAAAGTGTAAACAAACAAAGTCCTCACACTGCAGGAAGCCGAGCAGGCGTGTGTCTGCACTGCTGAACTCAACACAACGTACATAATTCACTGCCTGCACGACGCTCTCTGATCAACAGTTCTTCTGTTACTAAGGCTCCTCAGTCTGAAAGGCAACACTCGGTGACAAACAGCACATCTGATCACTTCTCCTGTCTCCATAGCAACCAGGTGTGATAATCCTTGGCTGCTCTGTGGTGACCAGGTTCATGCATATCATATAAGAAAACACTTACAGTAAAGGGATAGTTGGATGTTTTGAAGTGATGCACTTATCTACACATTTTTAAGACCTTAACACATAGGTTTTTTTTTATTTGCACCTTTTTTTGCCATGAAATAAATTGTTGTAAAAGAATATGTAAATTATTATACAAAATAAAAATGATAATGTTATATTTAAACAAACTATGGCCCGGGGGCCAAATGCGGCCCGCGGACCATTTTGAATCGGCCCTCAGCAAATTGAAAAAGTATAATGGAGTATGGCCCAAAAATGAAGCTTGTGCTTGTCTTATATTGTATTTCTTAAATATAGATGAAAACAGATATTACACAGTGTTCATGTGTTAAGAAGTCCACTCTTCAAACAAATTCAGTCAATTAAAGTTGAAAACATTTTCTATCAAATCTAAGTTGATAAGAAAAAAGCCCAATGACTTATGTTCATAACATGCTTGAAATACACCCTTCCTATTTCCTCTTATGATAAGCAATCAGGGGCTCCTGCTGTAAGGCATGAGCTGCTAACTAAATAAATGAAACCCTCTGGAGAGCTGAGATGTAGGCTGTTGTTTTTCTTAAAGCATATTCAAGTATTACGGATCGTACATTGTGTAAAAATGTACACTATATCAGTGTATCTCAATGGTATGAGGTATGTGTATATGTACCAATGTACCATGAAGATGTTTATTGTCTATTAGCAGAAACAGGAGGTGTGTGGCGCAGTGGGTTAAATGCAGTCTGAGCATTTAGCTAAAAGAGAAGTCAATTAAAGTAGAGAGTAACGGTAAATACACTTCTCTCTTTTTCTAAGGATGACATGGCGCACATCTAGTCATCGCAATCGCAATCGGTGCATTATGAATATTTTCTATGCAAAATATTTGTACTCAAGTATTTTGCTCATCCTGTTTTTTTTGCCTCGCCAAACAAAAACATCAACAAAATAACTGATTGAGGCAGCAACAAGGTTTGCAAGTTCAAATTAACTTTTTTGTCCATGTCTGGTAGCTTTGAATCTAACAGTTTCTGAACCCTGTTGAAAAGGGCCACCTGACAGCAAGGTAAAGCAGCTAAATTATTCTAAATATAGTATTCAATTTAACTGATATGAATTGTTTAGTAGTCTAAATATGTTTTGCTGCTACCCCAGTCCAAAGAAGTACATTGCTTATATTTCAGCAGGTGCTCCCATCTGTTTCTCCAAACCTGAAGCCAACCACCATCTATTGTAGGTACAATGACTGTGGATAAGTAGATCAAAAAAACTTACTTCAAAAATAATTAACTATCCCTTTAACTGTAGAATAATTTACTAAAAACAAAACATAAGCACAAAAACAAAGGCAATGAAATCGCCCTCCATTAGCACTTTGGCAACAATGTTTAGATTCTCTGGGAGGAGTTTTTTCCTCACATGATTAGTTGAGCTACAATATCTCTCTCTCCTCTCCTTTACTTCACCTGCAGTATACCAGGCCAGAAAGCGTCGTGTCACCCGGTTACGGTAAGCAGATACTGTGACTCATACTGTTTCATCAGGAGATCCTCTGCTGCTCCTCATAACTCTGACTGACCTCTTGTTTTTCATCTCATGACTGGATGCAATTCTTCTTTTGATGCTGCCGGCGGCTTTTAGTTCCTGTTGAGAAAAAGAAAAAAAGAAAAAAGGACTTAAGTATAAAACTTGAGGGCACTTACAGAGCATAGACCTCTGCCAATGTCAAAAATGGTTTTGTTATGGCCCCTCAAATGTGAAAAGGTCCAAATTATAACACTGACTACAATTACATCCAGTTTTCGCCCTTATTAAAAAAATAATACAATATTCCTGCTAAGCATGGCAGACCTCAGCTAAGTCCAAGTTGTACCAACCTGAAGTGGCCTTAACCTGAGGTTTGTACGATTATTCCTACAGAAGGCGCTTAGTAGTTTTAACAAATCCACTAGGGGCAGACTTGCTCATCTCCAAATACATGCCTTATATCCTAGCCTTTTTTATAATGTTTAAACGTAGGAGTGTTTCTCCTTCTGACCAGAAATATGAGATTTTCTCTTGATTTAGTTATTAAAACAAGAGCAAATCCCACATCTTTCCACATATCAGAGCTAGCGATAAGCAGGTTTAAGGCAGGAGTAAAAATACACAATTGAAATGCATGTTCTGACATTTTATTTAACAAATAAAGGAAGTAAAATACTCTGCACACTAGGCTAAATCAAATGCTAGCAAAATCAACATTTAGTTGGAATTCGAACCATTATGAAACAAACAAATGATTAAATAAAATACTTTGTGAGGACGTACCGTCTTCGTCTCCTGTGTTGATGGTCTGCAGGGACATGCTTCTCTGAAGGGTCTTTAAGGGCTTCTTGATTTTGGGTTTCGGTAAATCCGGTTTCTCAATAATCTCAAAGGAATCTTCCATCTTATTTGTATTTGCATTGCCATTTAGCTCTGGCACCTTACAGACAGGGGACTGGCTCTGAGGAGTGACCACGCCTTCCTCTATAGTCTCTGAACTCTGATTGGCTCCTCTGCCTTTCAGGAAGTGCCTGAAAGAGCTGCGTTGTTTCTTAGCTCCACAAAACTGGTTCCTCTTCAAGCTTCCCTTTCCATCCTCGTCCTCTGCAGGGGAACCAGGACTCTGAGGGGGGGCTGGGTCCACCTTGTCCTTGTTTTGAAGCATGCCATTTTGCAGGCCGTTCCTCTGGATCAGCCCCCCAACCAGCGAGTCGCTGACTCTCGACAGGTCTTGTAGGGAACCAGTGAGGCCCGTACTGTTCCCAAAAACTAAAGAGTACTTAGGGTTGTGATATTTATGTGCAGGCACCTTTAAGTCTACCTGTCTAGAGTCCCCGACAGATACTTGAAAGCGAGACATGGACACAGGAATTGGCTGGATTCTCTCCACCTTTGGCATCCTGATGGGCGTAGAAATTGGCGGCTTGGTGATGTTGAACTCCTGGTAGAGGTCCACCAGCTCGGACACGGCATAGAGCTCCCGAAAGTCATTATCAAAGGAGTCCACAATCTGTCCCGACATCACGGTGATCGTGTTCCTGTCCATCCGAGAGGAGGTCCAGGTAAAGCTGGAGGAGAGAAGAGATATTTAAACTAATACTGTGGAGGAAGAGCAGGGTTCTTCTTAGTTTGTATCCTTTTTTAATGATAATGCTAAGATATTTTATACCAACTTTATACTTACCAAAATAAAATAAAAAATAAAATAATTACTTAGGGTCAAGGATATTTTTGCCCATTTGTTTTTAGACATTGACAATTTTCTTTTTTTTCACAAAACACTGACAATTATTTTGAGATTTTTAAATCTTATCTAAAAAAAGATGCATAAATTCAAATATACACCTTGCTATATTCTTGACTATCCAACAAAATCTGGCTTTTTATCTCATGTAAACAAACCTTAATATTTTTAAAAAACTGATGATTTTGCTGACCCTAATGTCTTGACATTAGGAGAGAAGCTTCAACTAAACCTGTAGAAAGAAACCCACTTGTGTCTGACTTCTTGCTTGGAGAGAATTACAATGAAATACCTCTGGCTATTAACCAGTTGGCCTTAATTGACGATGTGGCAACTTCAAAGGACCCGGCGGGCTGGTAGGTTGCGCCCAGAGATGTCATCAAAGGACTGATGGATGAACAGTAAACATGCCACACACACAGAAAAGACTGAATGGAAATATTCCAAAAGTAGAAAGCAACATTGGCCTAAACTAAAGCAGGCTCTCTTTTGGATTCAAGAACCTTCAGATCTGTTTTCCCTTAAAAGCGATATTAAGCATTAAATCAGGATTTCTCAAATATGCCAAAGAGCTGCTGCAAACCAAGCTGTCCAGAAAGAGCAACAAAAAGAACAATTAGAAATACAGCGCCTTCAGGCAGAGGTCAAAAGGAAGATGGCCGATCAAGTGACAACAGTCGTAAAGCATAATTTTAGAGTGAGAATCTGAAGATTTAAACTGGGAGTACAGAGAGGGAAGTCTTTTGGATTCTGCTGCTCACCTGTGCTTTAATTCTTACTCTTGTGAGAGCAGTCAAGCTATACCATTACTCGTACTTATGAAATCATCTAAATTACAACCATTGATGCAAGTAAACACTTTAACTTTTTGACAGAAAATGTCCTGTTATTAAGAACGAAGAAAAACACTCGCTTCTTTGGGCTAGCGCTCCCAAAGTTTGTGATATGCTAATGAGTGGGACATCCCTAAGCAGTTGAGAGATCACAACAGGGTAGGGTAGATTTATTGCGTTCATGACACTATACGCATTTTTGCGCAGTCCGGTCAGCTCGCTAAGCAGAGGGCGGAGCTTCAGGTGATTATGCAGAGCTGCGTGTCTCCGTCAGACTCAGCAGCTGATCTGATCTCTCTCTCGCGTCCGGTTACACTTCACTCGCGTTTATGTCCATATCGATCAGATCCAGCTCTCCTGATCGGCCTTTATAGAGAGCACCGATCAAACTATTAAGAGTGAATATCGGCCGATAATGACCGGCGGGGCTCCCCCACCTTGACAGTTCACTGTCTAGCACTGGCTTCGTAGTGCACTGATTGATTAGGCTAAGCTAACCTGTAGCTGCTCCCTCCACACTCACAACAACTTCATACAGACATAAATAAAGCTGTATTCGCCACACAGGAAACACACATTTAAAACGGTTTTGCCTGCCGTTTTAGTGTACACAAGCATTCATCAATGGTTCGGAAAGTGGCGCTGTACCTTAATAATATAAAAGATTGTATTTGCGTGCATTTCCTGTTCGGAAAGTGGCAATGTACTGAGAGTGGAGGTGTCCTGACATTAGCGCCTGCAGGCAGGCTCCATGGAACTGTCAGCTCCGGACTGCGCAAAATGCGTACATGAAGCGCTACGTCATGAATCTACCCTCGTGGAGGCGCGCTCATGTGATTGGCTTAGAATTGAGGAGACATCTGATTGGCTATAGATAGAAAAAATTACAAGTACGAATTGGCTGACCGTCAGGGGAGTCTAAAAAAAAAACACACGAATGCACAGCGATTCGTGCACAGAAAGCGGTTTGTGTTTGCAGGTGCAGAGGTTTTAAACGGAAGACAAATATGTGAGGATCAAAAATACACATGTAAAACTTTTTTCTGTATTTGGATTTTATTTACATGTATATGAAACGGAATACATTTGTGTGTGCATTGAAAAACACAAGTGTGGATCCGGAAATACAAGTTTGAATCCTTTTGCAGATCATGAAATACAAGTGTGAATCCTTCTGTGTGCATGTGTGTATTATGAGACTGTTCTGAGCCCATATACGAGGGCCACTTTAAGCAGGCGGCACTGCAGAAAATTGTAAATAATTAAATTCCTGCCAACATATTAAATGAAGCGTGGAAACAGTTTAATAAAATTGAGGCCACAAATTCTAACTCTTGGTTAGAATGATATCATGTGTGCACAGTATGTTTCTCAGTGTTTTCATGCCTCTCTTTGGAATTGAAATGTCTGTATCGAGATAAAAATATTATTTTGTCCGTACTTTAGGTTGAACTAACATGTGCTTCCTGTATTTAAAATAGTTCTTACTGTAATAATAGAGTGGTGCAGTGACGCATCCTAAAACCCAGAAGTGAGTTAGCATTTTACCACTACCGGTTCCCTCGTCTCAGAGTCAATGGGATTTCTCCATAGGATTTTGGAAAATAGCTCGAAATAAGGTCTGTGATTGACACACATGTAAGAGACGGATTACGTTTTGTTCTACGACATTAAATCCATCAGCAGTGACCCCACTGGTGATTTTTGAAGAGTGTACGTGTCTGAAAAACGACGTAAACACTCCCGCTAAGTTTGTTTGCCCCTGTTCTGCTTGAAAGCAAGTGCCTGCCTCCTGCAAACTGTTCAAACATAGCATTTTGCTTCTGGCGATTAGATTTATGATTAGAAAATTATAAAAGCAGGGAAGACATGTGGATATTATCCGGCTGAACAAAACGTGCATTTATCAAACAGGTTAGTTTTCCACAGACCTTATTTCAAGCTATTTTCCAAAATCCTATGGAGAAATCCCATTGCTTTTTTGTCGAGGGAACCCATGCGCAGTTTACTTCTGGGTAAATACGTCATCCCTGCACCACTCTATTGGTGATGTAAATAGGTATGGGAACCTCTGTTTCTCCATACACTCAATTGCGGTGTTGGGTTTAACCTCGTAAATCATTATAAAATGAGCTCTCAACTGACACCTAAATCAGTAGCCACAATAAACAACACGGTTATCTTCAACACAGATTTGTGTGCAGGACCAACAGCAGATAAAGAGAGAGCTGCAAAAAGCATTCCAGTATGTCCAGATAGTTAATATGCTTCAGAAAGTATTTAAAAAGTAATGTACTCGTCGGATTGGTTTTCTTTTGTGATGTTGTATGCAGCTTCTAGTAAAATATTTTTTTAAAGCCTCAACACATTTGGATCTCAGAAGGGAAATCTTTCATCTTCAGTTTTTGTTTTTACAAAAGTGCATCAGAACCATTGTAGATTTCAAAAAGTTGGATTATGAAACTAGGGGAGAAGGAAATAACTTGCAAAGTCGTACATTTACAGGGGGAAAAAAATAAATGTACAACAAAAATCATTATATATATTCTCTTATAGTATCTACTATATCATATAGCAAGACAATTGTGAGATTTTTTTTATTATCTGAGTTGAGAGTGACAAATTATCAAGAAAATAGTTATGCTAATAGGTCAAATCTGCTGCACAAAATGGCTGTCTTTTGGATAAATCCTTTGTTTTACTAACCTGTGTAAGAGATTTGATCATTGGCATAAATGAATCTCCTAAATTGCCATAATTCCTAATTTCATGTACGTTTCTCGATCATCTCGCTATGTCTTTTCCTTTGTGTAAGTAAACTAGCTAGTGTACATTAATATTTCAAGCTCGCTAATGACTGATATAATTTGTAGTCGGTGTAGAGCTATGAAATATTATGTAATATGCAGGCCACAGACTCGCACTCATAAAAGGCCCTGTGCTGATATAATTACTTGTAGATCTTCTTCTTTTTTTTTTCTTTCTTTTTTAAAATCAGAAAATAATTCAAATCCATTCTATTGACTGTGGCTTCCCAACTACAAAGGATTATAAAAGGTTGATGTCTAATTCTCCTACAAAATTGGGAGCAAGAATACTTAAGAGTTCTGTTTGTGTACTTTTGAATGTGTCCTTATAACCCCTGGATTTTAAGGCACTGCGAGACATTCATGCTCACCTGTAAGACCCAAACATGACTTTCTCTCCGTCCACCAGCATGTATTTGGAGCACAGGGACCCGGGCAGCTTTCCAAACGACAGGTTCAGCCCTGAACCTCTCACCATGCGCACACGGAGATTCTGTAAAAAAAACACCCGCTTGATTACACACTTCATCTGGTTTAGGAGGACACAGGTGAGCCGGAGTAAACTCTCAGATTTTAATTGGGCCCATGTACAGTATATCATGCATGACGTGCCAAGACAAACTGTGCACACATTGCAACATTAAGTCAACTGTCCTGACAAAAATAAACTCTAACCCTTTGGACACATGTGTTTACTTAAAGGGCTGAGAAAGGAAAGAGACAGAGAAGGAGACACTAAACGGACACACTGGGAGGAGGCTTGGCTCTGCCGGAGCATCGGGTTACAGTCTTTGGATCTGTTCTCAGAATCTATGAATGTTCATTTGTGAGAAGTAAGAGTAACAGAGCCCAGCACTCTGAAAAGGCCTTTCACTGCCGTATCAACTGACACCACTATAACCAAGGAATGCACCAGCTATACTACACAGGAGCTACAAAACTCAGCTGGAGCAGATAAGGCCGGGTATTGTGTCCCTGTGGGGGTAGAGTGACAGTCTGACTCACTGAACTGCTGTTCCAGTGAGATTAGACCTGTATGAAATGTTAGTTTATAAAAGTAGGAGGATTATGTTTAACCCTTAAATAAATACATGGTGGGGAAAAGGCCTTTTTTTCAGCATCTTATATTTTAAATTCCTCAAAGATCTTATGGCAGACATCCCCCCCCTTTTATAATTTTTAAATATTGTTCTTACATCCACAGCTTCTTGTGATGTTTTCAAATGAAGCTTTAGGTGTCTTTCGAAATGTTTAATGACATCATCACCCAATAAAAAAGGGAATTTGTTATTGTGATTAGTTAAAAATGGAAGTTATGGTGCTGAGAGATTGCTGATAGGCCTCCCTGATAATAAAGGTGCAGGCTTTTCTTTGTGTGCGTCATGCTCAGAAGCAAACCGTTTTTGACCGCAATGATCATGTCGTTATACCTCCAATGGTGACAAATATTAAGCAGTATTTTGTTGGATAAAACATGTTATGAATTTTGGAAATGATTGTATACTATCATCTTATTTTAGGGATATTATTTTATCCCTAAAATAATTTAAAAAAATTGGAACTGTCCCTAACAGATTCAATTTGTTCTAATATGGGCCGTTTGAAGCTTGTAGGTCAAAAAACATTGGCAGAAACATTCTCTTACATTTATGTCACAATTTTACCAGAAAGAAAATTGGAAAGATTGTGCTTAAATGTGTTCCTCGTAAATGTATGACAGAAATTCTGCAGAATATCTGGTAAATGTAGGACTTCAAAACTGTTTTTTATCCTGGGAACATTATCCCCAACCTCTGGCTCCAGTCATTTTTAGATTATGTTTTAATTGCAGATAAATTGGGATAGTACGTTGTGAAAGACCCATACAATTTGTTTTAATCCATGATAATTATTGCAGCAACTGCCATTGTGGATTTAAGGAGGAGAGGAATGACCCACTCTCCATGTTCCCTCTTTGTGTGTTGTAGGAGGGAGCCTCCTCCCTCCGTCATGCTCTCCTGTGTTTGCTGAGCTCACCCGCAGATGGACTGCATTAATCTGCAGCCGTGTGCACATATCCAGGAAGTGGGGCACTCCCCTGGCCTCCAGCACAGCGTAGACAGCCACCCCCCTCCGTGATGAGGCATCCAGCAGGTCCTGGATGATCTGCAGGTCTGTCAGCAGGTCCATCACTATGGCCACCACCTGGGGAAAACAAGTGGGGGGAGAGGAGGAGGGGGGTTCAATGCAGCTAAACAGAGCGACAGCAGCTGTGGTGGAAAGTAACTAAATACACTCAATCCTAGTAATTAAATTGGATGCGTCTTTACACTATTGAAAACATTTTAGAGGGAAATATTGGGATAAGATTACAGATTAATATTTTAGATCTTACATTTACGATGTGATTATAAAATAGTATGCATTGTTACCAAACCACTGGTTCTCAACCCTATTTATTAGACATACCACCACAGCCCAGTCAGATTATTTCATCCATTCACCCTTAACATTCAGCTATCAATGTCAACTATGGACCAGCATTGAGCTAATTATCTCATTTTCTTAGTAAAAGTAAGATGAGTTCAAATCTGTTTATTCATTCATTTTGCTGTTTATCGATGACTTGGCTACTGCTTATCCATTAGCACTAGTTACATTCACATAAAGTTCATTTTCTTTTTTTTACTGTAAGAACATGTTCTATGGTTTTGTAAACCTACTCAAACTTTTTTCACACATATTCAGGGGAAGACTTTTGCTGGCTTCTTTTTTGTATTATTTAAAAATGAGTGCATTCAGGATTTCTAGATCTTTTTATTGAAAGTACATTGTAGCATTGTGACAATCACCTTGACCAAGCCAAAAGACAAGACACCGGAGATCTTCCCTGTTTGCCTGTATTATTCTGGAATCCCTTTTTTTCCTTTTGATTCTCTTTCCTCATATCCATTTTGTTTTCCAGTAAAATAAAACCTCCCCAGGTGGATATGTTAAGATGTGTGTGTGCACGTTACTGATGTCACATGTTCTTTTATTGGGGTTGATTTACATCTAGGAAGCTTTTATAACAAACCATACCGCCTACAGCTAAATTAGGACTCAACCATTTTTAGCCACTCCCACTTTCGGAAAACACAGCAACAAAGAGCGACATATTATTACTGTGTTATTATAGTCCATGTAATAGTTATTTGCCAGGAAAGCATCAGTTGATACTGTTATTCATGAGAACTTGTTTTTCCAGGTGATTAAAAGGTTACTCTCTGTTTTGGACGAAGTCCAGCAACGGCTGGGATTAACATTCTTAATTATTTCAAAAGCAGTGTCTTTGCTCAATACAATACATAACAGTACACGATCCGAGCTGAAGATAAATCATCCTGTAACAAGACACAGCAGGCTAAACATTGTACAACAACACAGAAAACTATTAACTAACACGCTTTCCATTTTAGTACTCTTGTCTTTAAGGCATCTTTTCTGCGGCCTACTTTGATAAACAAACATGATGAGCATTAGCAATGAAGCGTTGAACAGCCTCACTGGGTTTCAAATCCGTGAATGCAATGCAGATCATGCAAGGCTTTTAGCATTTCCTTATTGCACCTTACGTGTACTGTACATGTTTGGGCCTGATCAGTCTCCAAACAAGTTTTGCTGGAAGACAGTTTTATGTTGACAGCCGCTGGGTTGATTTTCATTAACATCCACCGTTAAAACTAAACCATACGTGAGTCTTTAGTATGTGTTAGCAAATAATGAACTTGAGTCAATGTACTAAGACATACAGTACACCAACTGCAGTTTTCAGAACGGTTAAACACATAACTTAAACAATAGCTTTCTTAACTGACTGCAAACATATCAATATAGACATTTCCTGCAACGTTGCGCTTTTTCTTGAATGTAGTTCAACCAGAAAGTTGATTATTCGCAAGTCATGATATATATCTGGCATGAAAACCATTTCCTTCTTGCATTCAAAGCTCATAGCCCTAGTATAAAGTCACTTGTAACTTCAGGGTAGCTAAATGCAGAAGTGCAGCCAACTGTTTGGTTTGGCAGGCTTTCATGAGTAGATAATTTACTTTACCTCAAGGGGAAGAATCTCAGTGTTGTCAGATATTATGCTGTCATGGCCCTGAGTAAGCTATTGTCAAAAGATAATAAAAGAGGATCAACTTTAACACTGAATCAAAAGAAAACATGCGTCGCCATTTCAAGCGATGAAATTAAATTCACTGTTATATTGATTAAAATTACAGATTTCTGTAGGTTTGAAATAGTTCTGGAAGATAATAAATGTCTTTCTCTTTTCTCAGAGAAAGGAGAGCTAGTTAATGTCAGCCATTAGCAGCATTTAAGGTTCCAGAGAGTTGCACTATGGTGCATTCAGGTTCTATTTACTCACATTCGCACTGAAAAACAGATATTAGAGAGAATTATGACTTAACTTCCTCACATAAATCAGTGGTAATAAAGCAGTGTATGTTGAAGTACATGGGATGTGTTGATTTATTTGAGTCTCATCCAATTGGTATTGAGAATCATGGAATTTCAATGATCATTTCATTGGTATCGACTACAAAGTTTCTGAAATTGTGAAATCCTGACCTTTAAATGTATTTTAATAACAGGTGTGCAACATTGCTTTCAAAGGGATCTGACTAAGCTATCTTCAAGCAGTCAAACTCTCTGGTAAAAACAAACCCTGTTACCACAACCTGCAACTTCACATCACACCAATCACCAGTGAACGCTCCCCTCTTTTGGCTAAAGCTTGCATACCTCTGGGGTCAAACATCCAGAGGGTGGAGGGAAACAAAGACATTAAGAACCCTAACATGGCGGGGGAGGCAGAACAAGCCTATCTTTCTGCTGCAAGTCCTGATGTGAAGCTGACATTTAGACCTTCTCCGTCTGCAGCTCGTTTAGACCTGCATTAGATTCTCCCAATTATGTACGTTTCTTTATTAATGCCGTGGGCTTTATCAAACCCTTCCCTGCTTTATATTGTAATGGAAAACATTTTAACCGTGTGTACAGTATATTAGCAGCAATTCATAAAGACACAACCCTGTCAGACGTTTAGTAACTTTCTGTCTTTCTTTAATCCTCCAGGAGATACACTGACCTAATGTAGGCAAACACACATTTTTAAGAAAAGAATAGTGCTTTTTCAAGACGTAATCTAAGTACATGTAAGTTATGAAGCTAGTTATGTAATTGTTATCTAAAAAGTAAGTTCTAAATTATTCTGACATTATCATTATCTACCTAGCTAGCTATCATCACATGATGAAGGAACTCACTCCTGCAAGCTGAAACAGAGAGAAGCTGTGCACTGCCGTTAACCATAATAATACATCTGGGTATTAAAGCTTATCCACAATTTTTTATTTCGAATAACATGTTGAAACCTGTCCGAAGTTTGTCAGACAGACCATAAATCGGATTAATAGAGTCACTGTAGTTCTTTGGGTTTGGTTTAAATCAGTATTAAAATAATATCTGACCCATAACGACATACTTACTGTACATCACAACATATCCAGGAAATACAGAGTTAGATAGATAGAGAAAGATACTTTATTTGAGATGAACAATATCACTCTCATAGCCCTCCGTTAAATGTAAGATTGCACCTTCTATCTGTTAGCTTAGCATAGAGGCTGTCTGATGGTTCCTCAAACACTTTCTTTTCCTGATTTGAATTTTGGAATATCTTTAGGTTTTATACTGACACAAGGGGTCCCCTCTGTGGGACGATTAAGGGTATAACAATTTTTAAATAAATGTAGAGGTCTCCTGTTATACAATTTTTAGGCATATATTATAGGTCTCAGATATATAAAAATATGTCTATGAAGTATTTTGCTGAAAATACCAAACAGATACCCCATTCTAGCCATGCCTCATACCGCTCTATTTCAGCCCTGTTAAAGAAGTGCTGATTCTGGGTCTGTAGCTTTAAAAAAAAAGAAAAAACCCTTTTTTTAAAAGAAAATAAGAGGGGGGGAGCTTATGCAGGAGAATTCTACCCAGATACTCAGCTAAAATGCTACCGTGATTAACGCCAGATCATGTTGAAAAATTTAAAAAAATCTGATAGGGCCGTGGGCGTAAAGCCAGCCCACATTTCCGATATTACGTCATATCGGCAGCAAATCTGGATCTGCTCCGTTGTACCCTAGTTTTTAGAGATTTGGGTACGGAGGAATAGAAACAGGGTTTTGTTTTCTGACACTTTGTGAGTTCCATTACACACAGGGGACACTTATTCATGGTGTTTTTTTGACCATATTCTGACATTTAATAGACCACACAATCAATAAATGTATCTATAAAACAAAATTCAGATTTATCAGTAATGAATTGTTATTTGAATCCCTAATAACTCTACGTGTATAAACTAAGGGATGACTTTTAAAAGCTCTTGATTTTGGTTATAAGAGCATTAACTATGGGCCTTTGTTTAAGTTTTGGTTTCGATAGAAGATTCCATAACTTCAGATTTAAGCTACCTGTTAAGAGATTACAATCAAAGGATGTCTCCTCCGGTTTAAAATGAATGCTCTAGATCAGGGGTGCCCACACTTTTTCAGCTTGGGAGCTACTTTTAAAATGACCAAGTCAAAATGATCTACCTAGGTACATTAAAAATGCTAAACCTATATATATTAGGGCCGGGACTCGATTAAAAAAATTAATCTAATTAATTAGAGGCTTTGTAATTAATTAATCGAAATTAATCGCATTTTTAATCGCATATAAATATTTGACTTAAGAACAGTGAGAAGCAATTTTTTTCACATGGATTTTAGTATACCATTAGGCGCATTCACACCGCAGTACTTTTCCCACAAAGGTTCATGAGAACTTAGTTCATGAGAACAAATTAAGCCGCTGACGTCACTTCTTCTTCTTCTGCTTTAGGTTTACTGGCAGGCCGCAAACCACTTCACGGCGTATACTGCCGCCCAAAGTCCCCGGCCGGAAGTCCCCGGAGTTGGGGACTGGCTTCAGTAGAAGCTGCTGGGAGTCCCAGCAGCCTTCCGAGTAAATCGCCAGAACGCCGACACCTCCTCATCTCCACCGCTCCCATGTTTTATTTTGTGTTGCCATAAGTTAGTCTCTCTGCGTTTCTGCGCTGGGCTAATGCTAATAATGCTAATGCGAGGATAATAAAATGGCGGCTTCACCAAACTTTTTGGGAGTTTTACGGGGCGTGGTTTGCAATCCGCCCAGCCAATCAGAAATATAGCTATTTTCTCACAAGAGAGCCGTACGAAAGTCCCTGCTCTCTAGCATGGACTTTCGTGGGGGTAAAAAGGTTCTCATGAACTAATTTTAGTACCGGCTCTTTTTGGTGTGAACGCGATAAAAGAGGCTAACGTCCACGCTAGCTGCTATATGTTTTGCATTGAGGTGATACTTGAGGCTTGATGTGCTGCGGTGATATGCGAATTCCTTTTTGCATAATTTGCACACAACCGTGCTCTTATCGACGCTTCCATCCGTCCGTTTTTTAAAACAACATTTCCCACTGTTGTTCACCGTGGTTTGTTGTTGTCTGAAGTCATGAACGTTAGTTGGTGCTCCAGTATAATCGGTACGCCTGAAACTCATCCAGTGAGAAACGTTCCGCGGTGCAAAAATAAGTGCGATTAAAATGCGTTAATTTTTTTAACGCGTTAATTTTTGTGTAATTAATTAATCTTAATTAACGCGTTAAAGTCCCGGCCCTAATATATATATATATATATATATACTGATATATATATATATGTATACCTGATGTTGGTGTACCTTGCATAACTGCATGAACCTGTATGGCACAATACAACTCAGTACATTTTTGGTCATTACGTCAATGTTATACCCTTTCTTTAGTAGAATTGTATAAATTGGAAGGCTAACTAGGTAATCAGCCTGCCGGTGATTTGCAGCTGGCGCGGTTGAACGCGTATACATGGTGAACTGCGTATTAGAAAATATGAGATCTCAGGCTGGCTTACCTGTACGTCAATCAAGTGGCAAATGCCATAGTAAGGATGGATGATAGGCTAATTTTTTTCATTATTTTTCAATGCCATGCGATCTACCCACACTACCTTTGCGATCGACCGGTCGATCACGATTGACGTATTGGGCACCCCTGCTATAGATCCTGTCATCCATTACATGCTTTAGCATTTATTAATCAAATACATGTGGAGTGACATTGATGGTTTACGCCTGGGGGCAAATTGTCTGTTTCACCTGCAGGAGGCGGTCACCTGTAGCCAATCATTTTGAACATTTCTCGAGCTTTGTTCTGCTGTCTCTGAACTGGTTGGGGACATGAAGTACAAGAAGATACGTAACTGCACGTTAAGTAATTAAGGGGCATACATTGTGTTTCCCTTTACTTTAAAAAAGGGAAACATGTAGATAAGGTTCAACATATTTGTCTTTGCTGAACATACATGTTTTGCTTCTCGAACAATTCTTTATGTGAATATTATTCTCTTGCACACTTTTCAAATGAATTTCATTGCATGCATTGTATTTGTGTTTGGATAAAGCAAGAATTAATGCTTTTAAAAAAGTAAAAAGTTTCAAAACAATAATTGTCTTTCTATAATTGAGTTATAGCTTTGCAAATGTGAACATGTTCTGCTTTAACTAAATATGTATTGGTTTGGCACTGTTGTTCAGACAAAACAAGATATATAAAAGACCTACCTATATACCCATTTGCTTTGGACAACTTTTATAGATGATTTATCACGACAGAAGTGTAATTGCTCTAATTGTTGGTGGCGGTTGTTTTTAAGTAATGAGTTAATGAGTTTTACTCATGTCGCCTCGTGTTTTCCTCGTGATTTTCACAAAATACAAAGTACAAGTTCATACAAAGTATTGTGCCTATATGTAACCATTAATTACAAGAGAACATTTTAACATAGTAATTTCACCAACATTTAAAATAAAACGTTTTCTGGTGAAAATAAAATTGTAGTTCACTTTGTTACATTGGAACCATTTAATGTGTTGTTTTTAATACTTTATTTAGATTTGACTAAATGTTCTTCAAACTTTTTAAAATAAGAATGGACTTGATATATTTTTTGTTTTGTTTTCTTTTGTGTGTTTATTTTTGCAGGCTGCAGTCATCACTCACTCATTGTATTGTAAAGCACTTTGTAACCTTTGCTTACCTTGGAAACACCTTTTTTTCAAGTTTGGTAGCTGCTTATTTAAATGAAAACCCTTTTGTTATAGTATGTTATTATATATCCTTGTATCACAATGTATGTGTCTAGATAGGACCACACATATTGTTGTATTAATTAAGTAAAAGTTACCTTGTGTGCCTCCTGTATGAGTCTCCTCACCACCTGCTTGATGTGCGGCCCGGGGCCCCTGGGCGGGTGGGAGTGCACGCTCACCCGGGTCACCCCCTTGTAGACGCCGCTGCTGCCCGGCCAGCCGATGTCCAGAGGCGGGACCTCAGTGTCGGACATCTCGGGCCAGTATGTGGAGTGCACCCCGGAGTCCGCGCTGGAGGACCCCTTGGACTTCTCCTGGTCCCCGGACTCGGAGTCACTGTCCGTGTCGTACTCTTTGAACATTTTCCGGAGGGACCTGATCTCCCTGGCCGAGAGGAAGTCTTTGATGTTGTCCTCCTTCAGCCGCATCTTGAAGGCTCCGTCCCCGCTCTTCAGGAGCCGCTCCAGGGCGGCCCGCTGCTCCTCGCTGTAGTAAAACTCCGGTTTGGTCTCCGGGATCTTTTCGTTGACATGCTCATCGTCCATGCACAGCAGCTGGGAATCCGCCATAGCCGGTTTAAGTTACCTGTGTGGCAGGTATACGGCAGGTGCTCCCAGGTGAGTGGCTGCAGGAGGCGGGACTGACTACTGCGTGGAAGTCAACACGGCAGTTTAAAGCCCCCCCCCCCCCCAATTTATTACAGAACTTCCTGAAGCAAAACTTTCAGAATAAAATAAAAAGTTGTTCTACAGAATTGTTTGGGAAGGTCAGCTGTTTCAATCAATGGTGGAATGTAAATAAATACATTTTAAGTTATGTAATCAAGTACTACTTTTAGGTACTTTACCTGTTTATTTTCACTATTGCTTTTTGCAATATACCATTATTCAAGGCTACAGTACATTTATACTTTTATAGTGTGACTTGTAGAGTTTATGTTTGTGTTACCTGTACTTTGACTTCACTACATTTGTCTGACTTTAGTACAGTTTTCAGATTTAGTTAATTTTCAGATTACAAATTGTAATCCTCCTCCTGTAAAGTGAAGTCATCCGATATAATAGTTTTGAAGGTTTGTGTCAACATTTATTCTCTAATAAATAATATTATTTTAATAATCGATTACATTTTTTATGCAGAGGGGTCAGTTTGGTGGTGCATGTAGGTGTTTTTCATCAAGAGAATGGAAATGATGTGGCACAAGGAATTAAGTGTGTGATGGTTTACATGTGTCTACATGTTAAAGCGTCCTAATAAACATACTGAAGCTGCTGCTATTGATGTGAGCATATAATTGCAGTATTTTTCCATAATTTAATTCATACATACAAGGTTTTTTTTAATCATATAAAGAAACACTTTCTTGCCATATCGTTTAAATAAAAGTACCATAGGAAGCTTTTATTGTAAAGGCTAACTTTTATTACTTCTGGTTTTATTTTTGGCTGGTTCAGACAACCCTCACAGAGACACGAAATATCACTTAATAATTACCTCGATAAAAACATTTCAGGTTTCTATATAAATAATTAAAACAATAAAACAAATCTAATAATAATAATTTGAAAACAACAATGCTTTAAAGGAGGAGTTTCTTTACAGAATTGTTGTGGTTTTCCTTTGTATTTCCACAGAAGTACCTCATGACTCAGATTATTAAATTAAAGCCTCAAATCAGTGATAAGAACAATTTTATTGCGAGGAAATTACACATCTATCATAAGTATTCAAACCTCTTGGAAATCAACTGAACTAATACAAAAACAAACGTTATGTGGTACAAAATGTGACTACACTTACAACACAAGCAGACACAGTTCATCAGCAGACCGGCCAACAAACATTTGGCTGGTTTTGGAAAGTTCATTGGGGTGTCTGTGACCTTTTAGATGTATGAATAGTATCTGAAAACAGTAACTGACTCACATTCCTTGATGAACTTGAAGTGCTGAGGTTAAATAAGTCAGTTAGTCAGCAGCTGCAGAGCGAGTCTGTGAATGCGTGCAGGCTCAGTAAGTGCTTCGCCTGTGGCGTTTTCTCAAAGCTGCGTTGTGTAATTGGCAGGAAACAGCCCGCTTTTCCCCCGCAGCTTTCCTCTCCACCACGACGGGTCAGAGCGATCCAACACCTCAATGATGTCGCCCGTGCTGAAACCCAGTTCATCTTCTTCTTCTGCGTTGAAGTCGTACAGCGCCTTGACCTGCATCGTGGACGCCCTCTAAGGGGCAGAAGAAATGTTAAATGTTGGTGTTAAATATCAGTTTAAAGGTCACCGATCATGCTATTTTTAGGCAGATCTCAGATATATAAAAATATATAAAAAACATGTCTATGAAGTGTTTTGCTCAAAATACCAAACAGATCACCCATTCTAGCCATGCCTCATATCCCTCTATTTCACTTCCTGTTTCAACAGTGGTGATTTTATGTATAAAGCATTTTTTTTAAAAGATTTTTTTTTTTAAAGGAGAGGGCTGAGCTCATGCGGGACCCGGCAGCTACTGTCTAAACTAAATACTGCCGTGATGAAACGCCATATCATGGATTATCAAGGATTATCTCTGAAACAGTTTGGAGCTCAAAGGCTTTCTCTCTTGCCGGTTATACCACAAGGTGAGTTCCTTTTTACTTCCTGCTTCTTCACACACATGCTCTCCAGTACAGGTTAGCTCTGAGTGTTAGCGATGCTAATGTAATCACCGACCATATTACGTCCAAAACAGTCAGGCATTGTTTCTGATGGCAATGTTTCTGATTGGGCCGTGGGTCCACATTTCAGATATTACGTCATATCGGACGCAAATCTAGATCAGCTCTGTTGTAGCCCCGGTTTTAGAGATGTGGGTACGGAGGAAAAGAGAGAGGGTTTTATTTTCTGACGCTGCGTGAGTTCCCTGACACACCGGGGACACATCTTAATGTATAAAAGACATCAAAAAGTGCATTTTGCATGATAGGTCCCCTGAAATGTCCTGTTTAAAGTGTTAACCATTATTTATGATTAAAATTAATTTTCAGTGAATAGAAATATGTGCTGTTTATGTTACAAATAACTTACATTTGTGATATAAAATAGTTTTCCCTGTAATTAACATGCATTTTTTTCAGGTGAGTTTTAATTTCTCAATGCAGTTTAAAACTAGGTAAATAGTTAGTGTATTATTAAGGTATGTAACATATGTATGTTACTTTCTTTCTGCGATATATGTATTTTAATTGGTGCCTATCTGCTTTTTAGGAAATTATAAGTGTTATTAGTTGTATTTAGAGAATTTGTTGATGGTGCACTTCAGCCTCTTGTGGCCAAAATGAGTTTTATAAGGGTTAGGGTTAGAAAAACAAGTTTTCACTCAGTTACACTTTAGTTACTGCTTGAATGATGAAACAATAAAACTCAACAAGTTAGTTTTATTATCTATGAATGATTCAAGTCAGCATCGATGACAAAATCCTAGAGAAAACACTCTATAGGTTTTGTTAAGGAGTTTAAGTCAAAAAGTTATTTGATGATAAGGTTCTGCGTAATTCTGTTTGTAACTGTTTGATTTTCACAAATAAAGAGAGGGGCTGACCTGAGGAGGGGGCAAGGTTTCAGATGCGCGATGGGGAGGAAAGCCAGCTCTGACGGGGCTGCTTCTTCCTGTGTGACCGATGGTGTGAGCTCGCTCCTCCAGACCCGCTCTCTTAGCCTGGAACAGAAAGGAAAAAAACACTTTAGCTGACTGTGCACTCAAACAGACAAGTAACAACTGATTCATAATTATCAACAATCATAGTATTCGTTCTGACTTGTGTTCCAAGCTTTATGTGAAGACTCAAATGCACTCACTGGTAAAGGAAAGGTAAGGTTAAACTTGAACAGGTGTTTATTGCAAATTAATTACAGCCACACGGAATAAGTGTAACTATCAAGTGCTAACAAGTTCTAAACCTGTTGCGATCCAAACCGGCATGCTTCCAAAGATCTAATCATAGTTCATAAACTATTTTTGGCCATGTCTGCTAGTATTGGCCATGTTTCATACTGTCGTGTTTTCACTCGTTATGGAAATATCGGAAAGTCGACTGCTGAATCAGCTGATCAGACACGCGAGGTAAATGCAGAGGTGGGATGTAACTAAGTACATTTACTCAAGTACTGTATTTTCTTTAGATCATTTTTACTTTACTTGAATATTATATTTCCATGTTATGCTACTTGGTACTTCTACTCCACTACAATTTAGAGGTAAATCATGTACTTTTACTCCACTACTTTTTATTTAACACCTTTAGTTACTTCGCAGATTTGGATGATTTTAACTATATTCAACACTTAAATAAGACTTTAGTTACGCCTGGAGTAACAATCACAAGCTACCCTATAATTGACAGATTGCAAAATAAGTACTTACGTTTGCTACTTTAAGTATATTTTGATGATAATGCTTTTCTACTTTTACTAAAGTTACCTTTTGAATGCAGGACTTTTACTTGTAACAGAGTATTCATACACTCTGGTACTTCTACTACTAATGTTTGTAATGTTTGCTACGTTTGTGCAACTGAGGATGTTTTATCAAATGCTGTTGTTTGCGATACTTAAACATTAGCATAAACATATGTTAATAGAACAAGGCTGAGGAAACATCTGACTATTAAGGTTTGAGAAGCAGAAGGCTGACACATACATGTAAAGACAGAAATCCAGCAAGGCTTCAACCTGCATATCTCTTGACATGACGGTCACCTAAAAAATCATGTTCCTGTACAACGTAGTTGACAATGCAGATCGCATACTCATTTACGCTTTGAGGGAAATGTATTTTCTTTCAGGTCACATTTGTTTTCTGATGTCTCCTGAATACGTGAAAGCCCACATTGGATGAATGGATGGGCCAAACGTATTTTCACCCAAGTGAGCAATGTTCGTTTCCCATGTAAAATGAGATGTCAACATTGACATGTTAACTTATGTATTGTTAACAAACTTGTATCATGTATGTTTCGGAAGTTTCCGATGGGGAACTTAAGCCATTATCTATGCTCTTTTTAAAGCCACCAGACTCTATTGACAAACAAATTCCTTTTAGATGCTGCCCTGCCTTTGTTTGAGTTATTGTGTTGTTTTCATGAATCCAGACTAACCTTTTAAAAAAAACAGTGTAATAAAAGCGTACATTCCAAATGAACACATAAGGAAGCAAAAGTAAAGTGTGTACCAGCTGGTTGTGAGGCTGGTCTGAAGCTCTGCGCGTTGAAGCAACGATGGCTGCCGCCGTGTTACGTTGTTCAGGCAAACTTCCCCTCTTCACCTAAAGGAAGGAAACAGACCGTGACTTACAGGAACTACAGTATAAGCTGTCATTTCTATTTCATGTGAACGCCCTGTGGACAACAAGGAAGGAAGCAAAAACATTTGAACTCATTTCAAATGATTCAGAAATGTAGGATATCATAATGTTTAATATGTCTTTAACTTCCAAGAAATAAAATGAAACTGAGAAAATAGAGTGCAAATGTACCAGGAATACATACATACAAAACCAAAAAATGTGATCATGATCATTTTTACAGTTTTTAGTAAGTTAGTTTCTTCTCTTTTTTTGTTGTTGTTAATTTCTTATTATTTTTCAAGTGAGTTTTTTGGCTCTTACCATTGTGTTTGTTAATATGGGGAAAAAGCATGG